TATGCAAGGATATTGAACTAGAAATATTAAACGTATATCGACAATCTTATATAAAGATGCACATTATACTTCATTTTCTTACTGACAATTCTTCTACATCTCAACAAACAAAAACATTCCAGCATGTTGTTTGAAAGTTAAAACATCAATAGATTAAAATAAAACGCAGCCGCACCAATATCTAAGGGGAGACCACCCATATGGCTACGATGTGCGTGAATCAACTTGGGGCTTCTGTATCGAGTGATTTCAGCAAATAGAGGGCTGAGTATTGGGCCCTTCAGACTGGGATTTGAACAGATTCATCCAGTCATGGGGCTTAGTCCGGGCTAATCCTGTTCGATAAGGTATTTTAGGGGCTACAATGCTATTGGGTCTTAGAGGGGGTACAATGTTATTGGGTCTTAGAGGGTTTACAATATATTATATGGTTTTAGAGGGGCTACAATATCTGATAGGGTCTTCGAGGGGCTACAATATATTATATGGTCTCAGAGGGGCTACAATATCTTATAGGGGCTTAGTGGGTCTACAATATATGATAAGGTCTCAGAGGGGCTACAATATCTTATAAGGTTTTAGAGGGGCTACAATATCTGATAAAATCTAAAGTGGGGCTACAATATCTGAAATTGTGGTAGAGGGGCTACAATATCTGATAGGGTTTTAGAGGGGCTACAATATCTTATAAGGTTTTAGAGGGGCTACAATATCTGATAAAATCTAAAGTGGGGCTACAATATATATCTTATAGGGTCTTAGAGGGGCTACAATATCTGATAAAATCTAAAGTGGGGCTACAATATATCTGACATCGTGGTAGAGGGGCTACAATATGTTATAGGGTTTTAGAGGGGCTAGAATATCTGATAAAATCTAAAATAGGGCTACAATATATGTAGTATAAAAGAACACCTTAGAAAGCAATCATTAATGTAATTAAATACATCTTCGCTTTTATTTAGTACGTCGGACGACTGATCTATGAAGATCTTGGCCCAGATACGAAGACCTTGACCAAGATATAAAGTCCTTGAACCAGATATGAAGACCTTGACCAAGATATAAAGTCCTTGAACCAGATATGAAGACCTTGATCAAGATATAAAGTCCTTGAACCAGATATGAAGACCTTGACCAAGATATAAAGTCCTTGAACCAGATATGAAGACCTTGACCAAGATATAAAGTCCTTGAACCAGATATGAAGACCTTGACCAAGATATAAAGTCCTTGAACCAGATATGAAGACCTTCACCAAGATATAAAGTCCTTGAACCAGATATGAAGACCTTGACCAAGATATAAAGTCCTTGAACCAGATATGAAGACCTTGACCAAGATATAAAGTCCTTGAACCAGAAATGAAGACCTTGACCAAGATATAAAGTCCTTGAACCGGATATGAAGACCTAAGCTCAGAGTGGCTATACAATTTACTACAAAATATTACAGAGACGTATTACATCAAATCATTTTAAAAAATATATCTTCAAAGTATTGCGTCTGAAGGATAAAATATTTCAGAGACGATATATCAGGACAAATTTAGACAAAACTTATTAATGCGATTTTTAAGTAAACATTTTGATAACACAATGTATAAAAAAACCCAGTTCAGTTCGTCCTAAGGGGAAGTAATAGCTAAGACAAAGATTCGTTTTACAAAACAAAAGGATCAATGACATTTTACATATATTTGTATTTCCTATCTAGTTATAGATGGTGTCATATTTTTGATTAGATTTTTACATTTGCATAATAAGAAATTAAAAACAACTTTATAAAAATAATTTAATAAAGGATTTTTAATAAACATTAAAAGCATGAAAAATATTATTTCAATAATAACTAATAGTAAATAAAGTCATTTAATTTTTTTGCTGGGAATTCTTCACTTATTTCCAAAATCACTTAACGCAGGGGTCGGCAACCTGCGGCTCGCGAGCCGCATGCGGCTCTTTTGATATCAAGATGCGGCTCTCCAGCTCCTTGAACAAATACTAATAATCTTAATAAAAAAAAATGTTTGAAATAAAAAAAAAATGTTAGTGGCTCTTTAAAACCAGGGAAATTTTGAAAATTGTAACTTTTGGCTCTTCCGCTTCAAAAGGTTGCCGACCCCTGTTCTATACCAACCTCTAGCTGTTCTAGCCCTTGATCAAAATTACAGATTTTATGTAAGTATTATGCGAATACACCGCTCCCATTAAACTCGCTTATTTTGTTTGTGTTAATTTACTACCAAGTATTTATAAAAAAAAAAACAGTTTTCGTTCTAATTCCTTAAGGAGAATATTCTCCATCTTGTATTACGTATTCAGAAAAATTCTAAACAGCGACTGGTTACATCAAAGGAATTACCCCGGAGTCAATGCACCAAAGAGCTAAAAATTCTTACATGGATGAGTTTAGCTCCCGGGAGTTCAGCCTCCGCGGCAGGGATGCAGTGCTGGACGAAGGTGTTCTCCCTCTCGATGCCGACAAACTTGCTGTTCTGCTCGGCCGTGACGCTGGTGAAGAAGACGACGACGCACCAGGAGATGAGGGTGGTGAGCACTGCGCTGGAGATGCTGTACATGTGTCAGTACTTGGAGCCCACGATGTACAGCATCAGGCGGTCGATGCTGGAACGACGAGGGTCAAGGTTAGGGCCGGGACAAAGAGGGTCAAGGTTAGGGCTGGGACGAAGAGGGTCAAGTTTAGGGCTGGGACGACGGGGTCAAGGTTAGGGCTGGGACGACGAGGGTCAAGGTTAGGGTTGGGACGACAAGGGTCAAGGTTAGGGTAGGGACGATGGGGTCAAGGTTAGGACTGGGATAACGCGGGTAAGGCTAGGGCTTGGACGAGGGGGTCAAGGTTAGGACTGAGACGAAGGTCAAGGTTAGGACTGGGATAACGCGGGTAAGGCTAGGGCTTGGACGTGGGGGTCAAGGTTAGGACTGAGACGAGGGTCAAGGTGAGAACTGGGACGACGAGGATCAAGGTTAGGGTTGGGACGACGTAGGTCAAGATTAGGGCTAGAGCAACAAGGTCCAAGGTTAGGGTACCATGGCTGGAGCAACGAGGGTTTAGGTTTGGGCTGGCACTATCAGGGTCAAGCTTACGGTTGGAACTACGAGGGTCAAGATAAGGGCAAGGTTTAGACTCAAACAACAAGGGTCAATGTTAGGCTACCACAGCTAAAACGTGGGATGCCAAGGTCATTACAACGTGGGATCTAGGATAAAATTGTAAATACAAAGGTCAAGGTTAGAGTAGCCCTATGACTAAAATACATGACCCACAGGCCGTAATCACTAACCTGAATTACCTTATAATGAGGGTCAAGATGCAGCTCTCGATAGCACAGAGAAAGTACATGTAGCTGACGACCATGCACGCCGTGTTGCCAAAGTGCCACACGTCGCTGTAGAGGTTGATGTGGTAGGGCAGCATCACGGTCACGGCGGCAACAAAATCACAGAGTGCGAGCTGGAACACCTGGTAAGTGTGGACCTGGGGGTGGGGTAAAGGGGGGTGGGGGTAAGACGAAATCACAGAGGGGTAGCTGGAACACCTGGTAAGTGTGGACCTGGGGGTGGGGGAGGGGGGGTGAGACGAAATCACAGAGGGGTAGCTGGAACACCTGGTAAGTGTGGACCTGGGGGTGGGGGAGGGGGGGTGAGACGAAATCACAGAGGGGTAGCTAGAACACCTGGTAAGTGTGGACCTGGGGGTGGGGTAAAGGGGGGGTGGGGGTAAGACGAAATCACAGAGGGGTAGCTGGAACACCTGGTAAGTGTGGACCTGGGGGTGGGGGAGGGGGGGTGAGACGAAATCACAGAGGGGTAGCTGGAACACCTGGTAAGTGTGGACCTGGGGGTGGGGTAAAGGGGGGTGGGGGTAAGACGAAATCACAGAGGGGTAGCTGGAACACCTGGTAAGTGTGGACCTGGGGAAGTGGGGGTGGGGGTGAGACGAAATCACAGAGGGGTAGCTGGAACACCTGGTAAGTGTGGACCTGGGGGTGGAGGAGGGGGTGAGGGTGGGGGGTGAGACGAAATCACAGAGGGCGAGCTAGAACACCTGGTAAGTGTGGACCTGGGGGTGGGGGTGGGGGAGGGGGGTGAGACGAAATCACAGAGGGGTTGCTAGAACACCTGGTAAGTGTGGACCTGGGGGTGGGGGAAGTGGGGGGAGGGGGTGAGACGAAATCACAGAGGGGTAGCTAGAACACCTGGTAAGTGTGGACCTGGGGGTGGGGGAAGGGGGAGGGGTGAGACGAAATCACAGAGGGGTAGCTAGAACACCTGGTAAGTGTGGACCTGGGGGTGGGGGAGGGGGGGTGGGGGTAAGACGAAATCACAGAGGGCGAGCTGGAATACCTGGTAAGTGTGGACCTGGGGGTGGGGGAGGCTCTTTTTACCAGTCACTTTGCCTTTTTAATTTCGTATCACATAACAGAAGTAAAAAAAAACGATTAAATAAGTTCCTAATTTAAATTTCGAACATTTTAATAGGGCGTGTAAGTCTCGTTTTCTCTGACTTTGAATTAGAAATATGTCCTGGTGTATAGAGTTTGTAATGACGGGGTGTTCAAAGTATTGTACTTGTTTGGTAAGTTTTGATGTCTCGTTTAGATTTGGGAGTAGCGGCGGAAGGCTGTTGCTGATATGGTTTCGTAAGTATAAAGTATCGAAGTGCTAAAGTGTCGTATTTTTTATTTAGCTGTTGTGTAGTTCAGGGGTCGGCAACCTGCGGCTCGCGAGCCGCATGCGGCTCTTTTGATATCAAGATGCGGCTCTCCAGCTCCTTGAACAAATACTAATAATCTTAATTAAAAAATAAAATATTTGAAATAAAAAAGTGCTAGTCGCTCTTTAAAACCAGGGAAATTTTGAAAATTGTAACTTTTGGCTCTTCCGCTTCAAAAGGTTGCCGAACCCTGACTTAACGTATAAACTTACAAGCTAGCTAAGTACGAAGTAATTTTAAATTTAGTTTAAGTACTTTATTAAATGTCGATTATTAAAACAAAGATCTGGATGTAGATTTAGATAAACGTAATTTTTACCTCAAAGGCCTAATGATGTTTACATATCAGATAAAACTAACTTCAAAGCTCAAGAGAACAAATGCCAAGAGCTCCTGGACTCTGGGAATGAAGTTATAATTCACGGTTTAGGTAAAGCTGTCAATAGAGCCATTAACTTGACACTGCAGCTTAAATCAAAAGGACTAGGCACAGTACAGGTGTGTGTTCAGACATCCACAGTTGACCTTGTAGATGATTATATTCCAGAATCTGACGACAGAGACATGAAAACTGCTATCAGAAGCAACTCAGCCATCCATATTCGTGTTTACAGGTCAGATGATATCTCTCAACTAAAGCAAGTGGAATCCCAGTTAGCAGTTAAAGACAAGTCATAACTGTCCTTCATGCTCATAGTATTTATTGTTTGTTGAAATGTACCTACATTGTAAAAATTAAATCTACATATTCAAAAAAAAAAAAAACTTAACGTATAAACTTTAATAGTTTTTTACCAAAAAAAAATAATCTTAAAAACTTTGTGAAAATTGCACTATATTTATGATTGTTTTTATGAAATGTGTAATGGCACCTAGTTAAAATAAGACGTCACAGAGGAAACTTTACAGCATGCATGCATCTATAGACACACTCGTTTTATTAGGATGAAAAAAATCCTTTTTCGATCAGTGCGGTAATAAACAGACGAAGGCTCAGTGATGACAAGACTGCAATAAGATAGCAAGGTCAAGGATACGCACGTGCGGCCTAGGTGCACAGATGCAGCATTTTATTGCGCGAGATTTTATTCGCCGTGTATTTGATTTTGTGTTTAAGATGTATTGGACGAGGGTGGTTGGTGGGGGAGGGGGGGGGGTCAGACGGTGCGGGTCAGTGGGATAATAAATAAATTAAAAATTAAAAAATAAATAAATACAAACTATTTCACGTTTTATAATTTCTTTGCTTTGCCACTACACAAAATATACTGTTATAGATTGCTAAACCTCTAAAATTACACTTTGCTCCATTTAAATAGTAAATAGCCAAAGAAATGGCCTAGAACACGTTCAAAGATCGAAATGTGGCCGAAATTTAGATCTCAAATAGTTTCTGTCTTGAAATACTGTTTTTTTTTAACTTTAGTAGCTGTAATTAGAAAATTACGATTCATCACTTATTAACCTATATTGAATATGGATGTTATTAATCGAATAAACAATGGAAGAATACGCAGACTTGTTTCTAATAAGTAGAAAACTAACAATGCACTAAAAAGTAGAAAATAAATAATGTTTTTCAAATATATAATAATACATTACTATTTAAATAACTAATCTGTCAGTTAAAAGTGCCCGAAATCTCGCTCGCCCGTTTCGATCCATGACGACCGAAAGACGGACTGTCGACAGACGGAGGAAGCAAGTTAAATAAAAGCTTGTAAAATGATAGGAATGTAAAAACGTAATTATTTAAATTTGATAAAACAACAAAATTCATATCAAAAATGTAAAAAAATAAATAAAAAAAACATGATCAAGTGTCGTCTTTAAATGCGACATCTTGTTAACGGTTCGTCTAAATCTCAGGTTAACAGAGAGAGGTAAAAGTTGGTGGGACATCAGCCTGCTACAAGACGGTAGAAACAAGCTTAACCTTATGGAACTCCATCAGAAACTAAACGCCGAAACAAGAGAGATAGGCTCTCGTTCACCAAGTCAGTTTTCTTGTCGTAAAAAAAAATTATTTCTAGAAATATTTTCATCATCGTTTATTTTTAACTCGATAACGCAAGTTTAATTACGACATTTATAATTTTAAAAATAAGATAAATTGAACAAAATTATAAAAATCATTATATTTTCATTTAAAAGCTACAATAGAAAAAGTAATATCCAGGGTCACGAAATGTATTGGAAGTATTCCTACAGCTTTATACTCTTTTTTTTTTACTATTATACCAATACAGAAAAAAAGCAAGATAAACGGCAATGCACACAAGTATTCAAATAAATCGCAGCAAGTGAAGGCCATTAAAAAATAAAACAAATCTATGTGGGTTTTTAAAATAAGTATTGTTATCAAAATAGTTAATCATGCTTTTTACTTAAAGTCAATCAGCATTTATGGTCACAATTTAAGTTAATCAACAACTGAAACTATAAAAAAATCCAGTCTGGAATAAATAAATACATTATTAACACTACTCCAGTGTACTCAAACTCATCACATCCCACACAAATTTTTATCTACAATTTTTTTATACTTTAAAAATAAAAAAAAAATAATAAGACAATCCTAGATGCAATACAAGATACAAATGGTAGGTCAGTATCGTTTCATTTGTGTGGACTTAGCTGGCCAAAGTGTTTACACTGACCTGATAGTGGCCAGTGCCGTGAGGAATCTCTTCTGGCTGTAAATTGATCTGTAAATGATGTGCAAGAGTTTGTCTACCTTGGCATCAAGATTAGCAAAACGGGAGGCACAGAGGAGGACATACGCGCTAGAGTTAATAGAGCCCGCTGCGCTTTCACAGTCCTGCGACGAATATGGAAAAGTTCGGCCATCTCCATTACCACAAAAATTAGGATATTTAACTCTAATGTCAAGGCAGTTCGGCTGTATGGAGCAGAGACTTGGAGAGTCTCCAAGGCAAGCACAGCAAAAATACAGACCTTCAGGAATAGAAGCCTTAGACAGATACTGAAACTGAGATGGCAGGACAAAGTGCCGAACTTGTAACTATGGAGGAAAGCTAGGCAGGAGCCTATGTGTGTGCAAATAAGAAGGAGGAAGTGGCGCTGGGTGGGTCACACACTGCGAAAGGCTCACACAAATGTTACACGCCAAGCGCTTGAGTGGAACCCCCAGGGAAAGCGGAAGAGAGGGCGCCCAAGACAGACCTGGAGGCGGAGTCTTCTTAAAGAACTGAAGCCAACAGGGATGTCTTGTGAGATGTCAAAATTAATAGCCGAGGATACGAAGAAATGGAAGGAAATGGTGGAGGCCCTATGCTCCATAAGGAGCAAAGAGGACTAAGTCAAGTCAAGTCAAGCTGGCCAAAGTGTTTACACTGACCTAATAGTGGCCAGATTCTCTTCTGGCTTAGATTGATCCGTCTGTACTCAGACTTGTATTATGTACTTATATCTACCTTCGCGTTGTAATCATTCTCTATGTTTACTTTGTTGTTTCATTAACAATGCTTGCCAATAAATCCCTGTTCGTAGTTTTTATTCAGTGCGTTCAGCATGCTTACAGACATCTCGATAGCTTGTTTTATTTCTGGTTTAAAATATTTTAATTTACACACAAAATCTTGATTTAGTTTAATGACAAAATATCTTAGTACAAAATATCTCAAAAAATATCTCAGAAAAAAAAATGACTCAGAAAAATATTTCACGACCGATGGTATCAGGATAAATTGTATCATGGACAAAATATATAAGTATAAATAATATAATCGACAAAACAATCTGAGTTTATATATTTTCAATGACAAAATGTCCCAGGATAATTTATATCAAGGATACTTTTTATCAGAGTAATGATATTTAGGACAAAATATATCAGGATGAAAAATATTATGGACAAAATATCTCAGACAAAATAACTCAAAGGAATATCCCACAATATATTGGAACATTATTAGTCAGTAAAAAAATTTGTATTTATTAAACTTATTGAAGCATCAAAATATTATAATTAAGCTTTGAAAATATAATTTGGCATTGATGTTTGATATTTATGATTCTATAGGTTGTCCTGATTACCTCAACTAATGATGAATTAGACTGACCACTGATGTCGGTCGTTCATGGACACAATTGTTTTTCTCATACACATTAAGTACTGCTGTACTTCAACATGTCACCGTGACAAGGGTACAAAGACAGACATGCGACTGATGTAGGTCTCTCAAAATTGTTAATATCATGCCGTGAGTACTGATGTACTTCAAGATGTCACTGTGACATATGTATAAATACAGGCGACCTATGTAGGTAGCTCAAAATTGTTAATCTCATGCACAACGTACTTGTGTACTTCAACCTGTCAATGTGACATTAGTACATACACGGATGGAAGACAGATGTAGGTCGCTCACTGACAAAACTGTTAATCTCATCCATTAATTATTGTTGTACTTCAAAGTATCACTGTGACATATGTATAAAGACAGGCGACTAATGTGGGTGGTTCAAAATTGTTAATCTCATCCATTAAGTATCGTCGTACCTAACGTGTCAATGTGACATAGGTACTCAAGAAAATGGATGGCATAAGTGGGTCGATGTTTATCATTATTCTAAGCTCAACGTTTTATTTAATTCAATAAGTGCCCGTATGTTCACACTATGTCACTGTGATCTAGACGAAACCAAGGGGATTTCGAATTTTCTTCTATAGACAGTTGTATGATAATCGATTATATAATCGCGAAGTCGATATTTTCCTGACGCTCTAACAACGATAGTTAGCTCTGGATTCAGAAAGAAACACACAACAGGTGAAATTAGTTGGTTTCAGGAACTTACACGCAAACAATAACAGATTGTGATGCTTAGACATAGTTTGAACTGGGTTCGTACTCTGAATGCCTAGAATAATAACTAAACTATCCTCTACTCAACCATCATGTTCATTACGTATTTGTCACAAGCAGCATGCCAGGATTAAGATTCCTATTTTGATATACCTGCACTGATATATTGACACTAGCACTGCATTTAAATACCTTTCACGTCTTTTGTGAAAATCTGACACTAGCCCTCAACTTGATAATTATAAAGTTAACCTTAAATCTGATACTGAATATTCCAAAACTTGATTTGTTTATATTCATTAACTGGTTATACATTTACACTTATTTATTAATTGTATGTTATGAGAGAAATATCGTCTATGATTTAATTAAAACTCCTATTCTGTTCTAAATATTTTATAAGGAACTGACGCTGATACGAAGGCTTGCGATCGACAACGCAACAATTAGAGTTATTCAAGACCGTTTGGAGTTTGCGGGGTTTTAAGCTATTAAAAGAACTGTACTTAATTTCTTCCTAGGACTTGTAGAGATAAATCTGTTACATTTGACTTATTGCTTGATAAGCAGATTTTGATAGTTCTCATTTTTTTCCAAAGTGGGACAGTGTGGCTTAGTAGTAGAGTGCTAGACAGCTAGCTTGTAAGCTTCGAGTTCGATTCTGCGTTCAAGTCAGTAGAACGTCCCTGCCTCTACCCAGCTCTGATGGGTTCCAAACTCAACTTACGGAAAGTAAAGGCGGCTGGGCATAGTGTCGACCACTCTTTAAATGCAGAGATCACAGAAACAGGTGAACTCAACTTCACTTGCTCTATGGACCGTAAGGTTCGAATAGGGAAAGTATTATTTTCCAAAATAACACATTTAATAAGCTTAGTGGTGCATTCTCTTTGTTATTGGGTTGAACTGGAAAATAAG